AGACATATAGTTGTACAAAGTTAACCCAATAGTATATGCAAAATAGAAAATGCTGCTCAGTGAACAATAATTACAAACACTATATATGCAAACGTGTAGTATTATATTATCTTATGCGAACTAATAGGATTTAACTTTACATGTTTAAGAAAATAACAAAGTAATCTAAAATATATGCTTGTACCGAAGACAGTACCGATACGTATAAAAGACAAGTGTAAAGGTGTTAAACTCTGCAGCTATTTGAGAAGAGTACTGCTCACAGTAAAAACCGTCAAGCACATGATGACAATTGTGTTTGAAAATAAAATTTGACAATATAAGAATGTCACAACAATGCCAACCTAATGTAAAAACATTTCAACTCAAAAAATAAAAAAAAAATACAAATAATGTTGGCACTGATCTCACCCCATAGTTATTACAATCACGATCTATAAATTGCGTCTATATTTGCGTCTCTTAATTGTCACTCGCAATAATTGAGATATGAAAAGTCAAAATATAAATAAACTTTTATAATGGTACATCATTACTTTACTGAAAATCAGTATTTTACAAAGACCAAAAAGAATTTACTATGTGGATATAGCGTTTTGCATTTTGAGGCTACATACATTCACCAGTTACTGTTCTAGTGCTTTATTTTTCCAAAATCATGTATAATTATTTTAATTAAAAAGTACACACACAAGTATGTGTCACGGAATATACCTCAACGCAGTGGTAAACTGTAATGTGTTTACGTTTGGTTGCTAAAATACACCAAGCGTGTCCCCTTAACAACGCTATTTATAGCGCTGACAAATCCCCACGTGTGTCATTAATTTTGCGAATAATACTATTTCATCTCATAATAATCAAAGTCTAGAGGGTGGGGTTCATGAAATTTTGCTGGAGATCCCTGTAGTCAATTAACCCACGTAATATTATTCACACCGTAATCTGAAAATGTGGTTGTACCAATGACAGTACCAATACATATAAAATAAAAGTGTAAAGGTTTTAAACTCTGCAGCTATTTGAAAAGAGTACTGCTCACAGTTTAAACTGACAAGCATATGTTGACAATTGAGTTTGGAAATAAACTTTGCAATATAAAAATGTCAAAACAATGCCAACCTAAAAC